GTGTGGGGGGAGCTGGGCTCCGGGTCGGCTCGGGGAGCTGCTTTGAGGGGAGCTGGGCTCTGGGAGCTGCCGTGACCATCTGACGTGTGCAGAGCAGGTTGGGAAATGCTGTGATGGGAACTGAGATGAGCCCAGCTCGGAAGGGGAAGTGCCCATCACTCGGGGGTGGGACCCGACCTGCCACAGAGCTGAGCTGCCCCACACCAGGGAGAGCTCTGGCAGCAGTGGGAGAAGTCTCTCCTCTTCCTTACTCCCCGCCAGTACGTAGCCAGGTGAGCGTGGGTTCCTTTTGAGGAAAGAGGGCTGGGAGTGAGGGCAGTGGGGAGTAGTGGTGAGAGCAGCAGGGTGCTGGGTGGGAGCCAGGGCTCCTGAGTTCCTTTTCCTCCCTTGCTCTGGGAGGGAAGTGGGGTCTAGTGGCTAGAGGGGGGTGGGGGAGGGAGCGGGAAGAGGGGGAGCTGGGCGCCAGGACTCCTGGCTTCTCTCCCCAAGCCAGAGGAAGGCAGTGGGGTGTAGTGGTTACGGGGAGTAGTGGTGAGAGCAGCAGGGTGCTGGGTGGGAGCCAGGGCTCCTGAGTTCCTTTTCCTCCCTTGCTCTGGGAGGGAAGTGGGGTCTAGTGGCTAGAGGGGGGTGGGGGAGGGAGCGGGAAGAGGGGGAGCTGGGCGCCAGGACTCCTGGCTTCTCTCCCCAAGCCAGAGGAAGGCAGTGGGGTGTAGTGGTTACAGCACCTGCACACTTGTTGCCTCCCTTGGCAGCTGCAGGGTTCCGTGCGAGGGCTGGTGCACTTTACACAATCGGGCGACGCTCCTCTCCCTGCCGGGGGCCAGGGGCCGCGCCGGGGGCTGGGATCCGCTCTAGGGGAAGTTGTGGTGGTGACTGAGAGACCGCAGCGCGTGTGGTTTCCCAACCCCTCTTCCGGAGGGGAGGGCCGGCGTGTGGGTGACGGGTGGGGGCCGCAGCACGGGGGGGAGTGAAGGGGGGATCGAGGGGAGAGGAGAAATGGGGTT